AAGCAACGTGAAGGGAGGCCATGTCTGTCTGCCAGAGTCTTGCTTCCCCGGGTGCAGGCATTCCTATGTCAATCCAAATCCTGAGGTTGGAGATGAGATCCTTATAGGGACCTAAGGATTGTGCCTTAGGTATAAAACCCCTTCTCAAAGACATACGTGCACCCAGAAAGGCAGACAAGACCCAGGCTAGACCTTAAACTGTTCTAAACAAGGACCTTAGCCAGAAAGAGTCTTCTGTACCTTTGGCAGTAGCCAGCCTAGCCTGGGTGACCTACTAGGACAGTGAGATATGAACACACAGAGAATTTTTCCATGTTTGCCATATTTGCCATAGCGCCACTGTTTCTCCCCCCGCCCCCCTTGGACTCAGAACATTAATTCCACTGCCCATATTTTTGATGACAACTCCCGCCTTCCCCATCCCCAGTGTGGATTTGGGGCAAAGAAATAAAGACTTTGAAGCTGAGAGAGAGGAGGACGCATTCTCTAGACAAACGCTGCCCATGCAGATGTCACAAGCTATGCGTTGACAGGAAAGAAAGTACTCAGGGACCGCCTGAGCAAGGAAACAAGAATGAGGTAAAGATGGCCACTTTGGCTCAGAGGAAAAAATAAATAACTAAAATAAGAAGAGGTAGTGTTAAAGCTTCGAAAGGAATTTTTTCATTTGAGAGAGATTATGAATAATGAAATGCAAACACTGTAGTTAAGACGTCTGTTAGCTGCTTCGTGTTGGCTTCTGGGAGGCAGTAATAGGTTGGGAGAGAGGGCAGCTTTCAACTTATCCAGTTCCACTGTCCTTGGGGTGAAGCTCGAGTCTGCACCCCAGATTTCTTGATCAAACAAACACTGGAGGCTGCAAAAAGCCTGCATTTACTCCAAAGCCGCAAACTTCCTGAGCCTCTTCTGAGCCCTTCACAAATGAACCTGACAACACTGACGTTCCTAAGGAGATTTACTCCAGCTGTAGCAAATCCCTAATAATAAAAAATTTCCCCAAATGACTCTGTCACATAGGAGGTAAATGAGACATTCAATATGAAGTCCGTGTGTCACTGGGACTGTGCCCTTTATATCAAAAGCCCTTCCAGAAGACCATGTGGTTAAGTGGGACTTGTCCACAGGGTGCAGCCACGATCCTGGAGGGAGAACAAACTTCATGCTAACTTGTAACTCGTGATTTTGTCTCCCTCAAGCACACTTGATAGAAAAAAAAATCTAGTTTTCCTAAGTTTAAGGAAGGCCTGGTTATTTGTTTCACAAAGAGATTCGGGGTGGGGGGGTATCCTCTTAACTAACAAGCACAGAGAGAATGTGACTCAGTGTCTTAGAGGAACTTTTGTTCAATATACACTGCCTTCACTAGGTGTGTATAGGTAACATAAACATGGGTTTGTTGCTGGCCGGGTTACAAAGAAGACATGAGGTTGGTGTGGTCACTGAGTAAACTGAGGCAAGCCCGCAGCAATGGCATTTGTTGGTAGCTTTGCCTTCTGGCTAATTCTGTCAAACCTCTAAATAACCCCAAAGGTGATTGGGCAACCTGACAAAACCTGCCCACTTCTTGTCACCAGTTGGGTGACAATGTCTCTCTGTCCTTTGTAAATAAATATAAATTTAAAACACCAACATAAAGCCACATATTAGGGTTTTTTATTATATTTTTAAAATATTATTTACTGAGTATAGTATCTGAAACACTATTCTTTTTTTATTTTGACATGCCATGACACAAGTGTCTCCAACTCAATGATATGGACGGTAACGTGCTTTTGGAAAAAAAAAAACCATACCTATCTCTAATTTTGGGTTTTTGTTTGTTTGGGTTTTTTGAGACAGAATACTACATAGCCCAAACTGGCCTTGAACTCTGACCCTCCTGCTTCAGTCCCCAAGGGACAGGATTTTGGCAAGCACAACATGTCCATCCATGCTAAATCATAAGGGACTGTTTTTCTCAGCATTTCTACGCTGAAAACTTCAGGACTGTGGGCTTTTTATGAATCTACTCTGACTGAAGGACTGAGAACTTCTAATAACAATTCAGATAGCAGAAGAAAACAAAGCCGGAGAAGTCACCCTGTTGGTGATATGTCTCTGCTAGCATCTTAGATGTACTTTCTTTTTTTTTCAACTTCAGTTTTCTGGCTTGCTTAGGGAAGAAAATTCATGTGTACATTTTAAGATGGACTTTAAAAATCTGTTCTTCTTACATTAATAGTATATCATGAACTTTTTTCCTATAAAGCCAAAAAATCCAGACCTGCTGCACTGTTTCTCTGTAGCAGCTGAATACTTCATTTTATAAATACACCAGAATTGATTCGCTCGCCCTCTCGAGCTGGAGTTTTCAAGAGGATGCTATTTATAAGGGAAACATCTTCTCACTTTTCATATGCTTCTTAAAAAACACTCATAACGAGGCATATACATCCTTACACCACTCTCTGATTGTTTTCTTAGGGAAAAAAAATCCTAAGGTTCTGGCTTAAAGACTACGTACATAATAGCTTTGCCTCATTTTGCCAAAAAAAAAAAAAAAAGTACCTTCCAAATGTTTGAAGAGCTTACGTCTCCGCATTCACTGAGCTGGTACTTCTCACTCACTGTCTCTTCAGGGAAGCATCATCTATTGCGTGGCCCAACCTTTTTGCATCCAAAACGGGTATGAGAATTCGACAAACCAGTTAGATTTCTTAAGCACAAACTGAGTGCCAGACACGGTATAGTACCTCTCTATGCAGATGAGATTCTGTCATGCAAAGCTCATAACTGCAGGAGAACACTCCTAATATCTCTCTCTTACTGTTAAATCTTCATTTTAAAAACATTTGTATGTCTTGTGCGTGTGATTACACACACACACACACACACACACAAAGGTGCTGGTGCCCCATAGTGTGTATATGAAGTTAGAGCTCAATCTTGAGTGACAGCGTTTGCCTTCCCCCTTGTTTGAGACAGGTTCTAGCCGGCCTGCATGTTTCCAGAGCATCTCCTCTCTCTACCTCTGGTCTCACAATAGGGGCAATGGGGTTACAAACATACTCTACTGTATCCAGACTTACCTGGCTTCTGAGGCTTTAGTCAGGCCCCCATGCTCGGCTAGCAAGCACATACCCTCCAAGCCATCCCCTCAGCCCTCTTTCCCCTGGGTTTTGAGGCTCAGCAAAAGTCAAACCTGAATTTTCTCAGTTCTTTTAGAAGGTTTTAGTGAATGTATTCACTGAATTTTATTTATCCACTTTATTTTACAAATATATATAGTCCCGTGAGGAGTGAGGAAGGCCTGCTTGACTTGTGTGCACACTGCCGGGCACACCAGTGCTCAGCTGACTATGACTGCTGAGCAGGGTGTAAGTCAGAGAGGAAGGGCATGGAGGGGCTTTCCAGAAGGGATGGGGAATTTCCCCTCAAACCAAGTGTCTTTTCACTTTTGTTTTGGAATTCAGGAAGTTTCCTTTCAAAGTCAGTACTATCTCTCACACTGAAAAATTCCAGACCTAAGCAGATCCCCCACCCTACCCTGGGGCCTTTTCTAGTCTGGCTATCTCTCGAGAGCTCAAGTGGAAGCCTCTATCACACCATCTCCAGCTCTCTCCAGGGACCCAGCACCAGTCGTTCTTTTGGTTGCTGGAGCTCATCCCTCTGGGGCCTCAGGATAAACTACACTCCTCAGCCTTCCTTTCCAGGCCTATTTATTCTGAAATGGCTGAGCTGGCTGAAATACGGCTACCAGAGGTTGAAGCGAAGCCTCAGGCCTCTCTAACTTACTCCAACCACCTGTGCAGACAGACAGCTCCCACAGACCAGTATGCCACACCCCAGGGAGGGCTACATTGTCAAACCCTTTCCTTGCCCACAAGGAAGACATTTCCTATGTGTTATTTGTACAGGTTGATGTAGAACACAGAGAGGGAGAGGAAAGACGGGGAGATGGCTGTTTTTTGAAGAAACTTCTGTTTCTTCCTGACTGGGAGGAAGTTTCCACGTCAGCTCTGTGATTTAAGTAGCAACTAGAAGCTTAGAAGGGGCACAAACAGGATCGTTTGTTGGGCATACACCCCAGCTGAAAACTACCAGAAAGAAGAGGAACCTTTTTTTTTTTTTTAATCAGGCTATGAACCTGATCAAGGAAGACTTCAAGACATCCATACCCCATGCCAGGCCCAATGAACTCAGTCTGAAGGGAACACAGGCTACAGCTTGGGGGAGACCAGGTATCCTTAGTCTTAAAAGGCTACTAGTTGTGGGTATGCAGACACAGTCCCCATGGAGACACCAAGCTTTGGAGGAAGCTTTTATTGCCTTATCTGATTTAGCACTGATGCCTTTAGAAGTCCTGTTGACTAGACAGAGCCTGTGGGAACTTTGTAGGCACATCTCAGGGAAGGAGGAGAACTACAGATTCGGAGACTGCCAATTAAAAACTAGAGCAAGAGGGGATGGCCCAGGAGAAAACTGAAACAGGCTAGGGGACAGGGGAACAAGCACCTCTGAACCGTCCCCAGGGTGCCAGTCCCTGACATGTAATTTTTCATCCCATCTTCACGTCAGCACGCTGGAGCAGCTATTTTTCTCCTCCTGTTCCATTTGAAGACGTGGATGCTCAAAGCATTCCAGTAATTTGCAATGAGAGACAAAGATTTAGAGAGGCCACAATAGAAATAAAAAGGATGCTACTGCCACCCAAGGGGGCAAAACAAACCAAAACAATGCTCTCTTTGAGATCCTGATGGAATGATGCAATTGCTCTTATGTGAACAAGAGATAAAGCCTCCCACCCATGCACTCATTCACTGTAGCTTGAACAAAGCAACTTCCTGTGGTTGTGTTTGCCTGTGTGCCAAAGCAAGTACGGTGTCCTTTGTTGATTGGTCTGTAACACCTGAGTGTCTATAAAAGACCAGGGAGATCCAAAAGACAATAATGGTCCTTCCCTGGTCTTCAGACTGGTCTTTTCTCATCTGTGCTTTTTTTTTTTTTCTGTCCCCACCTAGGTATGACTTCATTGAGATCCGGGATGGGGACAGTGAGTCAGCTGACCTCCTGGGCAAGCACTGTGGGAACATTGCCCCTCCCACCATCATCTCCTCTGGCTCTGTGTTATACATCAAATTCACCTCAGACTATGCCCGGCAGGGAGCAGGTTTCTCCCTACGCTACGAGATCTTCAAAACAGGTTAGTGGGGTCTTGAGTAGAGGCCATAGATAGGTGTCTGAGGGAAGGTGAGACATAGAGGGAAGCCCTGGCCAGCGGATGGCATCAGGTGGTGAGGTGGCAGGTGAAGAGACACCTAAAGTGAGCCTGGGAAGGTCTGAGGAGAATCTGGTAATGCCTTTATAATAAAAGGCAGGTCGAGCAACTTCCAATTTTAGGGGAGAGATAAAGCACCAGTATAGGAGGAGGGGTCAGGGGGTGTACATACAAGAACATCTCATAGAAGAACTGGATTTTTGTGTTTTTTTTTTTAAACCAAGCTGCTCTTCATGGTTGAACTTGGTTGAACTTTAGCCTAACTGCTTCATGGTTTAATGTTGTCTTTATTTGGAATTACATGGAGCTGGAGGATATAATCTTTTCATTGTTTAGGGTTTCTAAAGATCTACCACGACCCCTAGAATAGAGTCAGTCACTGCTTTTAAATTAAATTATGACTCCTAGACATTCCTCCTTGGCAGTCTATTTTACCCCCCCCCCCCATACACTGAACTCCTAGTTCCCATATGTTAGGGAATCACACACCCTGAAACGCTACTGAAAGTTAGTGGAAACCAGGGCAGAAAACAACACTTCTTTGAGTTGCCTGCTGAGGCCCATGTATCTCATTAGGTGCCCTGGGCCTTTAATGGGCAGGACTAACTTCTCAGGCTCAGTAGAATAGTTTTCATCTGAATGCTGTGTTAGGGCCACACTTCTGCCCTCTGTCCATGTTAGTTCTCACTATGGCTAAGGAACGGATGGCCCCGATTCTTCTTCGCCTTGCCCACTCAGGGCAGTCTTCCCTCAGAAGATCTGCCTCTGTATTTGAGTGTTTTCTTTCTTTAGGAGCCCAACTTCTATAACTCCAGCATGGAGTCTGATTCCAGGAGAAGTTGTCATCCCGTTATTCAGAAATCCCAAGTCTGGCTCCTGTTAAGTTCAGTACAAGGGGAACTATTTGTAATGGAGCTTCTTTTTTTTCATTAAACAGTTCTTGGAAGGAAGCAGTGGCTGTTGAACACACTTTTTATATTCACTCTGTCTAAATATTTGTTGGACTTGTCTACCTGCAAAGGTGGAATCAAATGAAGAGGTGTGGCCAGCAGTCAGAGTGAGGAGTGTAAGCTCTCAGAGGGCAGAGACCTAAGCTGGTCCATCTGCCACGCATTTGCATGACTCTGGCCATGATAAACTCTCAGGAAGTGATCTATGTGCCCTGGGCTGGGGCTGCTATGAGCCCCCTACATAGCTGGATCCTCTACTCTTTGAGACCCAGTGCACAATGCAGATGAGCATCCTCTTCTAAGAGTGTGAGAGAAGGAAAGATTGAGACAGACTTCTTGTCCTTGGCTTGTGAGAAAGGCAGGTAGCAAACTCTCATCACACAGATACCATCAGTATTACTGGTTACATCAAAAGGAAACTGTACTATGAGTGTTAGGTGAAGGCACAAGTCACTGTCACTGTATTGGAAACGCAACTGAAGAACGAGCACTGCAGCCTATCAGCAAGGAGTCCCTGGCACCAAACTCATCGCTCAGCACAGTCACAGAAGGAAATCAGCCCATGCAAGACCTTCCTGGGGCCTCTAAGCTTATCTCTGGTCTCATGGTTCATACTTCATTGCTCCCCAAAGCATGGTGCCACACTCTGCAGAAAGCTCCAGAAAAAAAAAAAAAGAGGATGTTAACTCCATCCCTCACACAAATTTGAAAGGAAGGCGTTAAAAGATAAAAGACACAAGAGAGATTCATGATGCAGCCTGCTGTTTAGATAACATGCAGAAGAGGAATTTTAAATAAGGCAGCAAGTTTGTGAAGAGCCTAAAAGAGTAGTGCCGGCTGGGATAGGTGGGTGGCTTGACCTGGAGCAATGAGGCAGCCAGGCCACTGCAAAGACTGGGTTACCCTAGTGAGTGACAGCCCCAAACCACAAGACTGAGAGTGTGTAAAAGAAAGTTCAGGCCCCCTAGGGGTCATCAGGAAGAGTAGCTCTTGGTATGAAATTCGCTCCTGTAAATACCAAGCACTGGAATACACAAGAGAGCAAAAGTCAAAACCAAGACGTTTCGGAAGGTATATGTTCTTCTAGGTAGGTGCCTTGCTGTGTGCCCCTATTTCCATAGTTACAGTCCTGTGAGAAAATACACAGTTTACAACGTTTACATCATCCACAGAACATGAAAGAAATGGGTGGACATGCTGAAGAAACCCAAACAAACATAGCTATGTTTACCAGTCAGATTCATAAAAAGAAAGAGAGGAAACTGTAAACACAGATATGCAAACAGCCATACAGAAGGCTCTGGAAGCTTGCCTTTCTGCAGGCTCTGCTACAGAGTTACATTGAGACACATGCACACACAAGGCTGGGACAAACAGAGCATACGGCTGGAGTGGAAGGTCATGTCTACCCTAAAGGAAGAATAAAATATTGTATGACACCAGGCTGTGTCACCTGGAAAAGGGTAAGCCAAGAAAAAGTTGCAAACAGAAACAACCTGAAGTCGCCAAACCTGGAACAGAATAAGGAAAGAAAATTTTTTAGAAGAACTTGAAAGGTGGCACAGGAAACACAATCAGTTGGAAGTATTTGTTACTTTTCTGATGATGTTCTTTTAGCAGAAATTCAAAATCCAAATTTCTCTCCTATGTACATTACTTAGTGGCATTTCTGAAGTAAAATTGTGAGACTTGTCCACAGGAAGGGATATGCCCAGTATTCTGAGCCCCTAAAATAAAGGCCTGACATCGCCACCTGTGGTTGAATTAAGCATGAATTTATTTATTTGTTTGTTTGTTTGTTTATTTGGTTTTTTGAAATAGGGTTTCTCTGTGTAGCCCTGGCTGTCCTGGAACTCACTCTGTAGACCAGGCTGGCCTTGAACTCAGAAATCCACCTCCCTCTGCCTCTCAAGTGCTGGGATTAAAGGCGTGTGCCACCACTGCCTGGCTTCAGATTAGGCCTTTGCATTTTCCTATCTTTGTATGGGTTAGGCTCCTCCTCCTCAACTTCCATGTTATAAACTATCCTGCGTGCCAGAGCCTTTGGGAAGGAATCCTTCACTGCAGTCCAGGCCCCAACTTCAGCTTTGTGTTGCTTTGCTGTTTTATGAGACAGAGTCTCACTCTGTAGTCTACGTTGTCTTAGAATTCAATACGTAGCTCTCAGCCTTGCATAGAACTCACAGTAGTCCTCCTGCCTCAGTCTCCTAGGTTTACAGTGCTTGGATTACAGGAATAAGCCACCACACTGGCTCGAACCTCCAGAGTCACCTTATCATTGAATTGACATAAACACTTGTCAGCTGGGTATTTAAAAACTTTTTGTCCTTTAAACATGTTGCAGGAAAGGATTATGAATTAGTCAGATTTCTGCAAGACTCAAAGTTTGTCTCCATTTCAGGATCCACTTTTGACCTTGGAATTTTAGTTGCCATTCAGGCTTGGACCGTGGCAGGACTAGAGGCAGATATATGATTTTAAAAGATGCCTGATTTTTTTCTGCTTGCAAAGGATAAAACAATAATGTTTTCCCACCTCACTCAACAAGCCAGAGAATGTATCCATTTCTAACCATCTGTCAGACATACACTGTTATTTTGTTTGTTATTTGTTTGGCCTTAAGTACTTAAATTTAAAAATCCCTTCCAGTTACATGCTAGACCTGGGGGTCCTGAAACGGAATGCTTTAGAATGTAACATTCTCCGGGGCCCATACTAAGTTCTACACCTCCATTTTGTTCAAACACTTTGTTCCCCCATGGATGAGAAGGATCAAAGATTCTATCATAAATTCTCAACTCCCAAGGAGGTGCCAAGTCCCCATGCCTTCTAAAGGGTTGACAAGCTCTGGGAGGGCACTCTCAAGAGGCTGACTCTCAAGTCAGTTGTGAGCAGAGAGTTGATTTCCATCCAGCACTGTGTGAGGCTCCCTATGTGCACCCTGAAGAAATCTGCATAGCAGCCTTAAACTCTAACCTTTTCAAAATTCTTCTTGGGCCCCTGAAGACCAGCCAGCTGGCCTGGCTTTCCCAAATCACATCATCCCAGGCCACTGAGGAAGCCCTCAGGAGTTTGCTGCCTGATGGTAAACAAAGCTGAGGAAGGGAGGGGGCCACTCCAGCTCATCCCACCCAAGCTGGCTGCCCACTGGCAAGGCTGGGACTTCCCTGCTGCTGCTGTGCCATTGAATGAAAGGCAAGGCTTCTGAGATGTGGTCCCTAGAGTTCCAAATAACTTAGGAAGGTTCATTCTTGCTCCTGGTCCTCATTCTCCACACAACCCAAGATGCAGCAATGACAACGGAGGGGAAGTATTGATGGATATAGCTGTACATAGATGCTGGGAATTTCCTGTGCTGCCCGAGCTGCAGAAAGTTACGAGCCTACCCTAAATGCACATATACTTATTTGCATGGTACCTTCTCGTAGTCAGATATTTGCAGCTTTCTAGAAAGTCATCATCCGTAAAGAGACTTGCAGAGGGCTCTGCTACCGGAGCCCCAGATAACAATGTTGCTGCAGGCTAAGATCGGCATATTGACTTCCCACAGTTATATTTCAGTGGGATCCCCAGAGGGCACTTCCTGCCAGTAAACACCTGGTTTATTGAGTATTTCTGTGTTGTTATTGTTGTTGTTTCCTTCATGCTTAGAGTGTCTATTATCCCCTTCATAAATCCTGCTTCCTTTACTTATTTTAAAATCCAAACACAGTGAATAAAAACTACTGTAATTGCCAGCATTTGCATCCACGTCATTAACTTGTACCCATTCTTGCTCTTTGTATATGCTGGGTCTCTGTGCTTCCAGGCTCCATTCCTGGCTCTGCCCAGAGCAACAGTTGCTGAGTTTAAAGCACCAGGGTTCCTCTACTATGACTCCACCCTGAGGTCTGGGGTTGTGGTGGCTGTAATCCTCTCACTGCTCCTGATGCTGCCCAAGCTTGCAGCAGGCTGTGTGTCCTGTTTCATCAGGATGCATCCCCAGAAAGCTAACCCAAGAGCTTAGGAGAGAAACAAGGCCATCCCCACCACAAAGGCACCAGAAGCCTTCCAAATGTCAATACACTGTTGCATTTTTCCAGACTCGCTGGCCTGAGAGGCCTTTAACATCTCCAACGCCCTGCTGTGATCCACCGGCTAAAAACCACGATTGTTAATTGTCCCACCACTACAGAGCAGCCCGTTTTAATACAGTCAGGACATGAATGGGGCTCAGGCTCCCCTTTGCCCCTCCCCTGAGGCACCTTGGAACTTGGAGGAAGAAGGGCACTTAGCTGGCTAGGGTACAATAGAGGCTAGTGTTGAGGTCAGCAATAAATAAGGGATAACATTGTTTTCTCTGCTGGCAACCATCAAGCCTTCCTTAAGGATTGAAATAACTTACATTCTGGAGTGAGCAGCTGAGTAATTGAGAAAGAAGACTCTGTTCCTCTTTCAAGATCTCTCTCTCTCTCTCTCTCTCTCTCTCTCTCTCACACACACACACACACACACACACACACCTCTTTACCTCTTACCCTCCAATCCCTCAACTGTTGCTCTTATCCTAATATTCAAAGCAATCAACCACCCCACCCTAATTTCTGTCCAAAAGGGAGGCTCACTTGAGGGCTTGAAACACAGAGGGGGAAGGGTGTGGAAATAAAAACCTTGTGAGTAGGGGGACATAGACACAAACATTTAAATAACCCAAAGGCAGAGGAGACAACAGAGAAAGGTTACTCTCTAATCCTCTCTCTCTCTCTCTCTCTCTCTCTCTCTCTCTCTCTCTCTCTCTCTCTCTGGCACACAGGCTCTGAAGATTGTTCCAAGAACTTTACAAGCCCCAATGGGACCATTGAATCTCCAGGGTTTCCAGAGAAATATCCACATAATCTGGACTGTACCTTCACCATCTTGGCAAAACCTAAGATGGAGATCATCCTACAGTTCCTGACCTTTGACCTGGAGCATGACCCTCTACAAGTGGGGGAAGGAGACTGTAAATATGACTGGCTGGACATCTGGGATGGCATTCCACACGGTGAGTGAATGATTATGCTCAGCTCGCTTTCTCCTTCTTGTAAAGGTCAGGACCCTAGCCTAGGGAATAGTAGCACCCAAAGTGCGCAGATCTTCCCACTTCAATTAACCCAATCAGGGTAATCCCACACAGATATACCCAGAGAACTGTCTCTAAGGTGATTCTAAATTTCACTGACAACTAAGTTGACAACTGAGATTAGCCATCAGAGATTGCAAAATTATAAGAGATGTTCCTTTCTACACCAAGTTATTAGGATAGAAGTGAATCAATTATCATATACTGTGACCATATAGAAGGATTTATAGCCAGACTGACTGGAGTTGAATCTGTCTGTTGTACAACCCAGCCAAGTTACTGATCCTCTCAGTATCTTGGCTGTGAAATGACCTTTCATCACTATTATCCCTATTATTTTATTACTATTAATATGGTCATTGAAAAGCAATCATTTATAGCCCTGAGGAGTCTATATAAATCAGGTGAAGGACCAACACAGATAGTGTAACTAGTATTGGAAAGAAACAAATTGTTCATCTTGGTGGTTGTTCTAAGGATACGTGGTACATAGGAACCATTTCATCTTGAGAAAGCATAAGATTTAGGCAGGCAAGGAGAGTCTGGGTTCCGTCTCTGCTGTTTCCTAGTAATGTGAACAGGGAAATGTCACCCGACCTTCTGAAACTCTATTTCTTCCTCTGTAGGACAGGCACTATAATGATACCTTCTGGCCTATCTCTCAGGGTTGGAAGAACAGAACAAAGCCAGCTCAGGGAAAGCACTTTTTAATGTTCAGGGAAAATATCAGACATTATTCTCTAAGCACACCTTCAGTTTTTACATCCAGGTATTGGCAATGAGGTCCACAAGGTTGTAAAAAGAGAAAACATTGAAAGCCAGTTTGAGATCTCTCTGACTACTCTTTGTCTCCTATATCCAGTTGGGCCTCTGATTGGCAAGTACTGTGGGACGAAAACACCCTCCAAACTCCGCTCCTCCACGGGGGTCCTCTCCTTGACCTTTCACACGGACATGGCAGTGGCCAAGGATGGTTTCTCTGCACGTTACTATTTGGTCCACCAGGAGCCGCCTGAGAGTGAGTTGACCATTTGGGAATCCCTGTCCTGTCTTCTCATTAGGGGCATATGTGAGTACAGGTAAAGGGCTTACCTCCTCAAAAACAGTTGACAGGAGTGCTGAAGACTTTGTGGTGCTATCTGAGTTTGAGGAGAGCCATGTTTTCCTTCCCAGCAAAGATGAATGGAAAAGGACAATGTCCATCTGGGTTCTCATTTCCTTACAAAAGCCAAGCAAAAGAACAAGAAAGAGTTATTCCCAGAGAAAGTCATAGAGAGATGGCTCAGCAATTAAGAGCACTGACTGCTCTTCCAGAGGTCCTAAGTTCAATACCCAGCAACCACACGGTGGCTCACAACCATCTGTAATGGGATCCGATGCCCTCTTCTGGTGTGTCTGAAGAGAGCAATGGTATACTCATATACATAATAAATAAATCTTAAAAAAAAAAAAGAAAGAAAGTCATATGACTATCTCGAGCCTCTGTTCCCTTGTCCATGAATGGAAAAGTGTCCTGAGGATGGTGCACATGCTGTCTAACTTTTTCAGGTCTAGATCAGTTCCTCCATCTCCAGATCTTAAAGGCCACTGTCAAAAAACAGCCATGTGTAACTCAATATTACATAAAGCTCTGTAGCTCTGAGTAGAGTTTCTCTGGCTAAACCATGCAATCCCGTGACTTCCACTTCATACACGCAAGACATACAGTTTTGGGGAGCTTCTACTGAGCGCCAGGCACCGTGTTCAGCATTTGCAAAGTGCTGCGGTGAGCCCAGCTGTTGTGGAACCTGCCACCCGAGCCAGTGCTCTCCCATCCTGAGGCCCATTTTCAAGCCATCTGCTCCCAGCCTTGTGTTTCAGACTCACTGCCATGGCTGCTTAGAGACACAAATGATTTCCTGAAAGGAAAAAAAACAAAAACCAAAACCAAAAAACAAGCACTTTCAGACAATGAGAACTGAGGAACTGCCGCCTCTGTTGTAGACAGCTCATCATCCATGTAACTACAGACGTAGGTAGCAGCTTGACCTGCCAGAAAAGTGAACAGGCTCTGCTCTGAGTGCTTGCTTCTGTGTTTTCCATCAGAGTCCCTGAAGAGTGCATGAGAAACCATGTAGCAAACTATAGCTGGCTCAGTAAATGGCCAGTGCAGCCATGGAGCTGAAGAATAGATTTGATACCTCAGAAAGGCGGCCAGTTTTTATCAAACACATGTCTTCCACAAACGCCGGTCATTGTCCACAGCACCCAGGTGAAGGATGGTGGATTCTCTGATGGCATAAGACCAGGGTCAGAGACTCCTAGATCTATTCGGCCAGGCAGTTGGTGTAGAGGAACTCAATGGGGCGTGCATGTCCTCACAGAGAAATTTCCCAAAGATGGGTATTTATACTTTGTAGTGTCTGTCTTCTATGCCAGAAATCAGGAAACACTTGGCTGAAAGAGAGAGACATGCAAAAGTGCCTCCTGGGTGTGGGTTAAGAAACCAGGCTTCCCACAATGGCTCAGCCCACCCAAATTGTCATGTTCACCTGTACCACATGACTGGTGCATCTGGCACCTCAAAGCATCCATAGCCTGCAGCACTTGTGTTTTAGATGGTATTTTTAATTTATATGATGATTCTTATTTATCTATCATCTAATTTCTTTTAGGTCCAATTTAGTTCCTTGAAGACCCAGAGGGGTTGTTAACTGTGTGACTTAGTGTAGTTGTTTTTAAAATGTGAGCGTATAATTAGATTCAAGATGAGGGAGTGCCTGTAAGGACTTGTCCCTAGAAGGAAACAGTGTCTGGGGGGCCCCAGCAGTTTGATGTTAAGATGCTTAACTCTACCCTTGACCAATCTCCACTCCTCAGACTTTCAGTGCAATGTCCCTCTGGGAATGGAGTCCGGCCGGATTGCTAATGAACAGATCAGTGCCTCATCCACTTTCTCTGATGGGAGGTGGACTCCTCAGCAGAGCCGGCTCCATGGTGATGACAATGGCTGGACACCCAACTTGGATTCCAACAAAGAGTATCTCCAGGTGATTACTCGGGTACTCGTGGGGAGGGATGAGAACGTGTCTATTGATGGGATACTGGTGTGACCCCTCAGCTAGAGTCAAAGAGGATGCTGAAAAATAGAATGCATGAGAATTGTATCCATCCATCCATCCATCCATCCATCCATCCATCCATCATCCATCCACAAAGGTACTGTGTTGTGTGCTGGAATAAAGTGATGAGTAAGAGGGTCACTTGCCCTTGCCGCTATGTGGCTTAGTGGGCCTGAGGAGAGCTGACTGGTCAGGATACTGTTTGCCCTATCAGTATCAAAGGAATGTTCTATAAATAGTTCCAGATCGTCCTCATTCTTGGCACAGGAAGGCATCAGAGATGTGGGGAGAGCATTTTTTCCGAAGGCAGGTTTGTTGGGTGCTATCTGAATATGGCAACTTCTCCTGATCTTTGCTATCTGGAAGGAGCCTGCCAGGAAGGTTTTACACATAGCTATCAGAGAACACATGGGAAAATGTCACCATGGGGAACGAAACTCAAGTTACCCAGATGCTCGGCAGCGTCTTTTCAGACTATTGTTTGCAGTCTTCCTGAGCAAGTCTTGCAGCTCCGGCTGAGTAATCTTCCTGCACTGCACACGGGTCCAGCTCTGATCCCCTGGGAATAAGTAAACGGGAAGAACAAACTGCCAGTTCTATACTAGGGCAACGTCTGCTTTTATGACACACACAGACAGCCTTGTGACCCATCGACAAGCCTGTCCCAGCTCTGACGTGACATGGTGACCTCTGCTCTAAGACGGATACTGCTTTGCAGACATCAGGAAAGGGAGAGAGGCCACTCAGAAACTCCAGGGAGCCACGGAGGCTCTAAGAACACAATTCTCAGACCATTTGTCACTGTCCCCTCTGCCTCTCCAAAAATCCTTTCATCTTGCAAAGCTTCTAGAACATTCTTTGTTGTTACAGTCTATTTTCTATATCCTTATTTTTAGCCCTTAGTAGTCTATTTTTTTTAATTATTGCTATCTACCTTTTCTTGTGTACAAGAAGTTACTGTGCATTTCTTTTGAATGTTTCATGATGCCGTACACACATTGAGTAGCCAAGAAGTGCTTACTAAATTGACTTTCATCAGTTTGTACACAGTAACGCACATTGAGACCGCCATTAAGAAAGACCATAGCCAGCAGAGGAGCAAGATCCAGTAATTTCCAAATGGGCTTGGCATTGTCAGAGTGAGGTACCTCAACTGTTGGCTGTCCTCCTTGTAGAGTGAAAGGTCAGGACTTGGTGCATAAACCTAATTACTTGGGCAGACTCTGTATGCCCTTTGACCCCTTGGTGACCTGAGTGATTATAGACACAGTGGAATGAGGGAATAAAGGTTGAAAAGACAGCTATGGATTGTCACTTCTGGGGCCTTACAGTGGATCACACTGGAATGGAGTAGAGTTTTGCCTTTCAGTGTTTCTTTAGGACAGTTCTGCCTTCACGGTCTAAAGCAGACCATGGGTTAATGAGAGGTCATAAGTCTATTCAGTAGTTAGAAGAAACTTGATATGATCTCAGATTTACAAGTGGAAGGAAAACCAAAAATAAAGAGAGAGAGAGAGAGAGAGAGAGAGAGAGAGAGAGAGAGAGAGAATATCAAGTTCCAGTTTTCAAGGGAAATGTCTATGATGGTAAGAACTAGTTGACTTTAACTGTCCAGTAGAATCACTTGCTTACATGGTTACAAGCACGCACTCAGTTTGTGAGGTTAGCATGACAACTGTATCTTTTGCAGACTAGGCCAGATATTGTTGGGAATAGTGGTTCCCTTACTCTCTGACTTCTCTTCCCAGGTGGACCTGCGTTTCCTAACCATGCTCACAGCCATTGCAACACAGGGAGCCATTTCCAGGGAGACCCAGAAAGGCTACTATGTCAAATCATACAAGCTGGAGGTCAGCACAAACGGTGAAGATTGGATGGTCTACCGGCATGGCAAAAACCACAAGGTAGGTCGGCTTCCCCAAGAGAGTGGAAGAAACTCAGACTGACCCCATGCTGGGGAGAAGCCAGTTGTTTAGTAAGGCTTTTTAGAACTGTTGGAGGCAAGGGATACACTGGTCTTGATATTTTACTTTTTCATGTTAAAGTGATTGGAAAACACCATTACTCCAGCAGCCTGGCTGCTGTTGCTTTTTGCAAAGCTGAGGGGGGAAAAGGGGGGAGAGCTTACAGTTGTCTAACTGTTAATGAAGGAGAAAATGCCTACTTCATCCCTGCCTCCCCATACCATGCAGGACTCGTTGAGCATTTATGGCCTGAGTCTCTTCCCCATGCTGGGTTAACAATCACAAAACTGCATGAAATGCCAGTTGAGGAGTTACTGAGGTCTGGGAATAAAAAGACACAAACCCTAAGAGGTAGTCCTAGTGTCTCCGAGAAGAACCAGGACAATAAGTAATGAGAAGAAATCCCATTTGTTGAGATTGGGATTTGAATTGACCGTCATGATTAGTGGGGAAGCATTGAATTCTCTCAGCCGGTGCCTTCAGTGTCTGCAGCTCGCAGACATGTGGTCCACGTGGGCGATGAGAGGCTTTTGTTGTGTGCAGGGATCAGTGTCTGGCACTCGACACTCTTAAAAACACATGGCAATGAGCTGCAGCTGGCAATGAGCTGCATTTGGCATATGGAGGGCTCGGTGGAAATGTTCTGTCTTCACCTGAGTGGGGACAGGTGCCTCTGTGATGGGAACACAGCTCAAGGTGATCCCTGAAAGCCCTGGTGAAGGAGACATCCCGGGGATCCCAGTGGCTGCTGACCCTCCCTTGGAAGGGAATCAAGAGAGATTTTAAAATAGGTCTGTTTCTCCTCCTTTGCTACAGTCCACCTGGTTCTGGTCTGCAAAGATGTAAGTTATCAAAATAGGCACCCACAACCAATAAGTATTTCCAAAAGGGCATCTCTTTGGTCCTTGTCACTGTCCCAAAGCAGCAACCACACATACATTTAGAATCCTTGGACCTACAAAATTCTGCCCTATAATGTTGGCAGCCTCACTCAGGAAATGTGACTTTTTTAAAGGAATAGTTTTTTTTTTTTAATCAAAAATCGCCATAGTAACATGGCACCATTCATATGAAAGTATGGTTTCTAGATATCACCAGCAATCTCTCTTACGTACAAACATACATTGCTTCACATGCCCAGTAAATAAAGTGAAATATTTAGAAATGGAAAGACAGCCTCACCTTTACCCCTGGGCTAGGTCTGGTCTCCCATTGCCTTAGCTTGGAAAGGCCAGATACTGGCTAGAAGCAGGAACTAAATCAGGACTGGATGCCAGGGGAAGTCCCAAGAGCTGAGTCCTCATCTCACCCCATTCCCTTTCCACCCACGTTTTCTCCTCCACCTACATTTTCAATAAGAAAGTGCTAAACCTGGGAGCTCAGCTAGTTGGCGAGGGTCCACAGCCAGGTAGGAGTGGGTCCTGTGCAGAAGCACGAGGCTCCCCTGACTGTCTCCTTGTCCAGGTTCAATGACTAAGCAGTGCTGTCCAGAGGGATGCTGTAGCATAAGCTGATTTTTAAAAGCACACAGATGGACTGGGATGCTATTTAAAACACCATTTGTAGGAAATCTGCTTTTGGAAATACCTTAGCACTGCACATTTTGATAGAATGCCGTCCTGGCTTTATCCCTGCTATTCAATTTTACAGGGAAGATATTCCTGAGAACTGAATTGAGCTTTCTAGTCTTCAGACTGATCCTTTTCAGTGTTCCTGTGTCAAATACATCCTCACTGTTTTCTGCATCCTCTTCCTACCTTTGGAAAAATGTGCCTCCCCAGTAACCAATGGGTGACTTGGAGGTCTTGTTTGTGTTTCTGTGCTAGAGGATCAGTTTTGCCTGCATAAGAAGAAGTGGGGCAGAGGAAAAGCCTTCTCTCTATTAGAAAGACATCCTCCTGGTACTTAAAACGAGGAAGGAAAATGGAAAGCCTGCCAATTAGTCTCCAGCTCCCTCACCCTGTTGTGCATGTGGTGGGAAGCCAAGAGGCCTTCCTGTCCTTCTCCCCTCCAAGGATGCTCTCTGCAGCCTCTTCGTTAACAGGTCTCCCCTAGATAGCTGTGTTTAATGTGCAGCTCTCTGGGCTGCTGGGGTTGAAATAGTTGAGTGAACCATGCCAAATAGATTTGTCAAGTCCGCCCCAGTTTGATTTGATGCCATGACAAGGAGGCAGGAGGAAGGAGGGGACTGGAGGGCAGTGAGGCTGTAGGGAGGAGCTCATCCATGCTGGTATTACCACCGAGGTTCTCTTTGTGGTTTCTGGAAGCTGGGCACAGTGCCAAGCTCTCTGGTGTAACGTGGCGGGTTTGAAAGTGAAATTCATACAGCAGGACTTAAGGAAAAGGCAGAACAGAGGAAGAGGCAGCAGCTTGCTGGGCTGTAGAGTGCAGGGAAAAAACTGGAAAACGCCTTCCCAGTGCTTAGGAAGTTGAGAGCGTTTTGTGACATTTGGGGGCACAAATTTGGAAATGCAGTCTCAATTCCCTGATCACTGTCAACACCAATGGAGCATATCAGAGACCAGGGAACTGGAGAGTCCAGAGAAAAACAAGATTAATGGACTCTCAAGGTGGTGGAGGGTGGTTGTATTATATCATGGCGATTTTTGCCCAGGCTGAACAAGGCAAGGTCTAAGCTTGTGAGTGCCTTTTCTTTTGCTACCAGGTGGAGTGGAAGTACTCTTTTCCAGCCTACCCAGTCAGTGAGCAGCCTCTTCCTAGTCTTTTTACGGTCAACAGGTATTTATGATGTTCCTGTGAAAAGCCCAGTCGTTGTTGCTAGTGGTTCATGACCATTTTCCTGGCAAAAAACACAGCCTGCTTATGCAGACCACATGCACAGCACATCCCCAGTCCTCACCCAGTTTCACATGCCATAAATATGGAACCCATGATTTTTATATAGGCGGGCCCCTCCTTATGCATATTTATGGTGCAACCACAAAGCAGAGAGCTTCTCCACCCATTAGAGCCCGTAACCAACTTATGTGCTCCTTCCGATTACACAAATGACTTCATATGTGTCCCTTCAGAAACCACAGCAGAAACTAAAGCCTTTTGGTTTTCCCAGCTGTGTGAGTAGCATCCCAGCCATAGGCATGGTGTTATCAAAACAGTGGTAAGAAGTTTCATGTGCACGGGTACAAGTGTGTATAATTACAGGTGAAGGTATGCACATACACACCAAGTAGTGTGCATGGAGAACAATAGGAACAGCTTAAAGGCACCAGTCCTTGGTCACGATTCTGAGATTCTGATCCCATAAATCTGTGACCAAGTGCCAGTCTATGCCTGTGGAAGGGAGACATGACTGTTCTTGGGTCAGTGGGACAAAGACTGTTGCTAGCTTTAGTTTCCCTTGCTGGGATAGTTTTAGATATCTTCCCCTTATTTATGGTGTTGTGGGCAGGTTTTTTTTTCCTATTTAAAAAAAAAAAAACAACACAAAAAACAGTTGTTCTAAACCCCAATGGCCAAGTTGAGGATAGGAAGGATGAAGTAAAATCAGCCTTGGGCCCATGACTCTGCAGAATTACCCAATGATAAGTGGAGAGGATACACCGAGATCACATTAATGTAAGGATAAGAACTAAGAGGTTCTACAAGCCCTCAGGCACCGACTTAGCTGCTTCAAAATTTCATGTTTCACAGGTGGAATTGCAACTCTCAAGAGTCTAAGCAACTTGCCCCAGGGACAGGGGGATCTTGGAGTCCCCAGGAGAGGGTCCTGGTCACCAGGTTCAGACACAGAAGCAGATGCTCTCAACAGTCTGTCCTAGGCCTTGTTCCTTGCTTTCCATCTGCTGTGAGAGGAGGCATGCTAACTTGGAGCCCCTGTTTACTAAGGGAATCTGAAAGAGGACAGTGCAGTTCAGGATTCAAGGCTAAGCATTGTGTTGGGAATTTAGGCTCCATCACAGGATCCAGAGGATGGAGAGTTGAAAGAAGCTGCTGTTTATTTGGTTTGGCTATATCCCTTCAAAACAAGAGCCCCTGCTTCCAAACGCCTCTGTCCTGTATTTGTTTTCTTAATTAAAACAAATCATTTTGTAAAGCAGAGCCTTGGAAGGAAAGAGTAGCATTAGAAAGCCACATCGCCAAACCCCCTGGCAGTGTTGGAAGCACAGGACATCTGCTGCAAATCTCCTGGGACAATGGACTGCACGGCCTTGGATATTCCCTTCCTACTCTGTCTTGGTGTTCCCAGTGGAGCACTGCAGCTTGCCATCAGAGGAGCACCTGGCCTTCTGCAGAGGGAAGGTGCTCCTCAGATGCAAGCAAAGGGTTAAAGCTCTCCTTGGGCAGAGAAGCAAGCTGTCAATTTAAAAAGTAACAGGTCCCCAAGGGATGGATATATATGTGTGTGTGTGTGTGTGTGTGTGTGTGTATGTGTGTGTGTGGTGTGTGTGTGTATCTCCTCTTTTGACCTGGAAGGGACAGAGGGACAGAGAGAAGTCATCCAGGCCTTGCACTTGAGCAGATAAATGTCCCCTCACTGCTTCATTTTTTTTTTTCAATTGGGAGATGTAACTATTCCTCCAATTAATAAATTGAAGATTTTTTTTTAAAAAAATCTTCATGAATTCTTGTCATGATTCATTCCTTTTGAGGTTTTTCATTTTGTTATTTTTGTTGTTGTCGTTGTATAAAGATTAGAATATGATTCAGACCTCAAGCTAGGATAGGGCATCAGTATCCAGAGCCATGGATGCAACTGCATGATCTAAACAAGCTTACATGCACTCTGAAGAGGGCAGGTGCCCTTTCCAAGTTCAAGTCTCCCAGCGTGTGCCTCTCCCTCCATTAGGACTGAGAGGAGTCCAGTGTGCTGGGTAATTCAGTTTGTCCTTTATCCATTTGTCGTGGGATGAGCTCAGACCTTTAGCCTCTCCATTTAGGAAGCTCGAGGGAAAATTTCATTATACATGCGCTTGAACCGT